GATAGATCCCCTATACTTGTGGGTCATCATCATCCTGCAAAACCAAGTTAGACGCCTCTAATCGGTTTATGCAAAATTTTATTTTACATGGCTTCTAGGTTTCAACCAAACAGCAACTACCAATGTTTATCATCAAGTATGATTATTCAAGTCGCTAGATTAACTTTCCGGGGCGTATGAAACACAAGACAAAAAAAATATCGAGCCCCATACTGAACTTCGTCATACGCATGATCCCCGTGTAGATCATATCTGTATTGCTCTTCAGTCTACGAAACATTCATCTTTCTTAACTATGGTGGAACCCAAAGAACTGAAGCACTTCGTTGATCTGTCAACCAGCATACTCAAGAGCAACATGGAAGGATCACAGATTGCCAGAACTTTGTAGCAAAACTCCACCATGCCGTCAAGATCAGAACTGCGCAAATTCAAGGGAAGCAACAAGAACATCGGGTAATAGATTTCATCTACTACCCGCACAAATAATTTTCAGGAACAAAACTCATCTACTAAAAAATTATATTGTGCAACACCCATACATCTCATGTATTCTAGATCGTAACCTGCATCAACGCATAGCACGGCTCTGATACCACTGTAGGGTAACACAACATAAAACAAAAAAAATTCCGACCTACGCACCAGCCCAGGACCACTATGAAGATGCATACAGGGTTTTGATCTGATCGTTACCGACTCGTAGCGCAGCGGAAGGAGAGTCGGTGGAGATTGTTGGTGTAGATCCCCATAGCTAGGATTTTACAACCTCCCAGCCGCGAGGATGTACTCCCCGGATAGCTCCTCAGGTGGTCCCTCAAACAGCCCTCCCGGAGGCCCTCAGACAGAAACTCGATCAGTCCATCGGACAACCCTTTGGGAGGCACATGGTCAGATCCTCGGACATAACCTTGGAGAGAACCTCAGGCTATCTCTCAAACTAAGATCGAAACTATGACTTCTCTACTGGTTTGCACACATACAGTTTCAACTATCCAGCAGGGCTTCACCGTCCAGAACTAGGCCCTACCGAAGAACAACCTTTCGGCGGACGAAACTATTTTGTGGAGAGGGAGATAGAAAGCCAGATCATTGCATGGCATGTGCTTGAGAGAGATTGAGTGAAATGAAGAGCTCTCTCCACCTCTATTTATAGTAGGAGGCAAGGGGTAGAGGGTCACTTGAAAATACCAAAAGGCCCTTGGATATTTTCCACCCAAAAGCCACCAAAAGTGGGAGGAAGCCCCATGGGTGGCCCCCCCATACCAAGGACGTTTTGGGCTGCCACAAAGGGGCACCCACCTCCCCAAAATATGCTCCACAACTTTAGGGACAAAGCCCCAAAAGGTGGCTTTCCAAAAAGCCACCAAAAGGGGGTTGCACGCTAATAGTGTTACACTATTCATTGTACTATTCATGACAACTTTTCATGAAATATTTTCAGTGTCTGAAAAATCCATAAAAAATCCGAATGGTCCAGAACATTTCCGGCACCCACTAAACAATACCTTGACTCATTCCAAAACATTTTTGGTATGTAGTTTGTCTCTGAAACGTTTCTAGTTTTACTCTCTGAAACTTTTCTGTTATCTCCAAAACTTTTTCGAAAACAATCTCCCAGACTCCCTATCTATTACTTAGCAGATAGATGACCCTTAAGTGTGTGACCCAATAGGTTCGGTGAATATAGACATGACTGGAACTCTTTCCGATCAATGATCAATAGTGGAGCCGTAGACATCCATATTGATCCCTATACACACACGAACGAATATTCGAGTGAACCTGTAGTTGTTGTGTGCTATTCCCGTTGCTTCATGATATGTTACAAAACCCGAGGTGAGATTTAGTAGCATCCCCGTGAATCAACAACTTGTTCACTATGCCAGTTTCCTCGCTACCAGTTTTGTTCTCTTTTCTCGTTCCCGTATTCCAGCATCCTTGTGATCAAATCACACCGTGTCTGGCTAGATGATGATGGATACTGTAACACCGAGAGGGCCCAAAGAATATCTCTCCATCGTCAGAGTCGGAGGAGCAAATCCCAATCTTGAGCTTTGTCTTACTTTTCCATGAACCCGTAAGCCGCCGTAATAGCCACCCTTTTACGGATGACGTTTAACAAACCCCAAAGTTCATGAAGCAAGCATGAAGGAAATTGATACTCTCATGGTCTAAGAAATTATGCAAACATTAACTTTCTCTGTGTTATTTACCATTAACTCATGACGAGCATATCTCATAGCATAACATCAAACGGGTTGATTTAACACAAGTGTTCTTCTAACATTGTGTCCTCAAAATTGCTGGCATAGACATGCCCATGATTAGGAAAATTTAATCATCATGCAACACTTAAGCTAGTCTTAGAGGCTTGACTAGGAATACAATTTACCGTTTATTATTCCACAAGTGCATATGAGTTTTCCTCCAAGCCTCGTGGTTATTGTAGACTCAAGAACCATATCAGTTATAGCACGGAATAGAAACTTAATTATAAACATGGAGATAAATAATAACAGTTATTGTTGCCTCTAGGGCATATCCCCTATAATAACATCACTAGTACCCTTGCGTAGTTCTCACTGTTCAGCTTCTTGCTCAACTCAAATAGCCATAGTTTATCATCTTGTGTTTCATCTGCTTTAATTGCAACATACAGTTCTTGGTCAGATATCGCCTAGACACATTGTGCCATATTACACTCCATTAAGTAATGCATCCATGAATTAATTGATACACCACAAAAATAACATGAAGCCATCGTAATCATGTGGCGATGGTGTCGAACCTCCCCCGTGGGCAGTGACGGCCGAGCTAGGCACCATGCAAACATCCAAATCTTGGGTGGTAATTTTGCACCCCATAATCTCTTCCACCCTCATTGCTCTTCTGCCACATTTGATGCTTGTGGAATTTTATCAATCCATGTTTCTCGCCTTCTTTTTATCTCCATTATCATTCTATAAGCTGATCACATCGAGAACACTCCACTTTTTTCAAAATGCCAAGCCCAAAAGTCATCTTATTGTACGTGACTGGTCGGTATGCACTGGATGGCCTCAACATCCATTGGCAAGAAATGTGCTTGCTGCTTGTTCATATCCCAACTCCTTGTGGCTGGCTCAATCAGCTCAGAGACCCACTCTGGAGGATTTTGTGATTGCATGCAAACCAGCCTAAGAAGGTGATCACGTGGTATCTAGTTGTCTTGCATTACCCACGTCGCTGCACCATCACCGATCCTCCTGATCAGACCTTGCATAAGAACGTCATGCCCCTCGCATATACTCCTCCATATTTGCGACGGCTTGCTACCAAGCTCGGCATCGAGAAAAGTGTTGTTAGGGTAGTAGCAAGCCTTCAAGATTCTTGCACCAAGTGAGCACGGGTCTTGCAGAAGCCGCCATGCATGTTTGGCAAGCAGGCACAAATTAAATATCTCGATATCTCGGAAGCCCAAACCTCACATATACTTTGGCATAATCATGGAGTCCCACGAGACCCATGCCTTCTTACTTTCTCCCTTCTTCCTACCCCATCAGAAATTCCGAATAAGATATGTGATATGTTGGCATAGTCCTCTTAGCAATTTAAAACAAGACATTGAGTATGTCGGAACATCTTGAGCTATAGATTTTATAAGCACTTCTTTTCCGGTAGCAGTAAGAGTTTTTTCAATCCAACCTTGCACTTGTTTCCACACACGATCCTTTAAATATGAAAAGACTCCATTCTTTTGGTGCCCAACATCAGATGGAAGCCCCAAGTATCTCTCATTGAGGGTCTCATTCACTACCCCAAGAATTTGCTTAATCTCCTATCTACTAGTTTCTGGGCAGCCCTTACCGAAGTAGATTGAAGATTTTGCCGAGTTAACACGTTGACCCGAAGCATCACAATATTGCTGCACCACATCCCTTATCCATGTGGCCCCTTCCACCGAAGCCCTCATGAACAAGATATTATCATCTGCGAAAAGAAGGTGATTAACCACATGTGCCGCCCGAGCCACTTTCACTCCAATGGAGATCCCCTCCTCTCTCTTCAAAAGACATAAGACCCTCAGCTGCGAGCAGGAACAAATAGGGGGATGGGATCCCCTTGTCTAATGCCTCGAGTTGGGGGTAAACTCTCTTGATGATGCACCATTAAACAAAACAGAGAACGAGACCATCGTGACTCCCTTCATAATGAGTCGTACAAAACTGGGGCCAACCCAATTTTCTTCATAATAGCTTCTAAGTAAGTCCACTCGACTCAATCATATGCTTTCATCATATATCCAACTTGGGAGCACAATGAGAATAGATTTACCCTTCTTTGTTTTCATGAAGTGAAGGCACTAGTAAGAGTGCTCTGACTAGTGCAGAGATGTCTGGCAAGGTCGATGCTCAGTATCTCATCTGAGTATGGATCAACGGATGAAGGAGGTGACGGCCCTTGCGGCGTGTGCATGTGATGCCCACTGAAAGTGCGCCGGATCAGTGTGTAACCCAGTGCAGGTATTGTGGCTTGGATGGGGCATCCGACATTAGATGTTAGGTGTTGGTGCGATGTCTGTTTGGTATTAGGCTCGGACATTCGGCACCCCTTCATCATGGGGATAGGAATAGCGATATGTGTTGCCAAGATGATGACTTCAATGTTACTGATGTATTACCTTGTAAGGGGTTCGTGAATAATTAATAGAATGGCTGCACCCATCGTCCAGGTGCAGAGGGGATACATCCTCCTGTGGAAAAAAAAACTAGCGATTTCGACGAGCATCGCAAATTTGTTTTTTCGGCGAGCATCGCAAAGAGGCTTGGCGAGTTTACATGTACTTGTGTTTTGCGCAGATCTCGACGAAGCGACGGCCCAGAAAAACTGGCCCATATGATCCACGAGAGGGGTTTGGGGTTGGTGGTCGACCCTGGAGTATTAGCGGAGCATCCGAGGGAGGGGATAAACAAACCTTCCGCTATCTCTTCCTCCTCTCGAAACACCCGAACGGCCGGATGGAAGGGATGGGGCAGAAGAGGCGCCCGCTGGTGGTGATGGCCTCCTCGTCGACTACGGCGGCGCAGTCGGCGTCGCGCGGCGGGGCCAACCCGCTGGCCGAGCTGACCGACCGCTTCAGGTCGCTGGAGGTCGGGGTGCGCGAGTGGATGGCGAAGCAGCCCACCCACATCGAGGCCGCCGTCACCACGGCGTTTGGGGCTGTGCAGGGCGGCGCGCTCGGCGGGCTCATGGGCACCTTTGCGCCCGAAGGAGGGGCGGGGCTCCCCGTGCCACAGCCGCCTCCCGGTCTCGACCCCAAGGCCATGGCCACCTTCAAGCAAGCGCAGGTCTCCTCCTCGCCCATGTATATCAATCCTTCCGCTACAGATTTACCTGGAGACCATCATTTTTGGTAATTTTCTGGGATATTTACTAGAACATAAAGCAAGTGACCCCTTGCTCATATAATACTTAAAACATCAACAGTATCAAGGTTCTTTTGTTCGACTTTAGACTTGAGATTGGTGGATTTGTCATTTGGAATCAAGCCAAATTTGTTAAAGATCAAATCAAGATAGCTAGTACGTAGTACTTACTATACGCATGTGATGGCGTTTCCTTTTCGTAGACATGGCTTTTCCTTTCTCGTTTCTTAAAGCAATCATCACTCCTCCTTTAGTCTTAGTGCAGCAAAGTCTTTATTGGTCCTTAAGGATGTCTGGCATATACTTAGAAACTAAGAATATGCAAAGACAACGATTACATTCTGTCGATCATGTACCAAGTACAACATTATCCTGGTTAATGCAAAATCCAGTCATCCTCTAATCCTTCAGGTTAATGGTATCTTTTTTGGATTATAGGCTTTGGCAGGTGGGCCACTGGTGCAAGCTCGAAATTTTGCAGTCATGACTGGTGCAAACGCAGGCATATCTTGTGTTATGAGAAGGGTACGAGGAGTGGAGGATGTCCAGGGCAGGTGAGGGTTCATAACTTCTTGTTTCTTGTTATTTGAATATTTGCAAGTAACAGGGAGCCAACAATACATTCGACAGAATAGGTGCATCTTATTGTGTTCGCATAAGATGTTCTCCTTTCTTTCTTAGCTACTGGTCAGTTGCATATCAGCTGGCTAGGATATAAAGAATGTTTGGTTCCGAAGAGTATTTGTTCTACCTGATGTTTGTGTAAGCCATTAAAGATAATATCTGTACTAACCATTATCTGGCAGTGTTGCTGCTAAATTATCAGTTAAATGGAACCCTCAAAATGACTTTGTTAGGCAATTGATAACTAATTATTTTAGTGTGGTGTTGTATTGAGTAATAGCAAATAATATCCTTACAATCATGCTGGACAGCCGCCTCCATGCAGGGTAGGATTGAACTCAGCAATACACCACTACTCGACTCTTCATTTCCATTTCGGTTGCCTTTTACCACTCTTTAAGTTTGGTAATTGCTGAAGCAACGTCAGGGTCTCTTCAGTGATCCCCACCGTTAGTTGATAACTACTCCCTCCGTTCCAAAATAGATGACCCAACTTTATACTAACTTTGTACTAAAGTTAGTACAAAGTTGAGTCATCTATTTTGGAACGGAGGGAGTATTTCCTACATGATGGATCTCATATGGTTGCTCTAATATGTTCATGATTATCTTATGAGCTATAAACAGCATAACAACGACAAATTGTAAGATGGACTTGACATCCTAGGGACTTCAGCAATAGTAAATACAAGGAAAACGGAAAGTGATATCACACCCTTCGTCCTTTCAGTCAATCATGTTGGGCGTTACAAATTCAGCGGACCAATTGTTAATAAGATAAACATATTTCGTATATATTTCCAACTGTATGATTGACCAGCACTCTTTTATATAGCATGGCAGCAGCGTTTGGTTCTGGCGCTCTGTTCTCCATTGTGAGTGGAATGGGAACCCCAAACCCAGTTGTTAATGCAATTACAACTGGTATGGCTTTTGCAGTATTTCAAGGTGGCTTTTTCATTGTAAGTAAGCTGTACACGTTTCCTGCAAATGAAAGTCATTTTTTCCAACTTGAATTATGTCTCTAGGTTTTTACTGAATGTGTTGGTGAGCCTTCACGTTGCATTGTAACTTCACTGTTATATACACCCTCCGTCCCAAAATTCTTGTCTTAGATTTGTCTAGATACGGATGTATCTAATACTAAAACGTGACTTGATACATCCGTATTTAGACAAATCTAAGATAAGAATTTTTGGGACGGAGGGAGTATATCAGTAGGATAGGGCAATGTATTTATCCATGGTTGTTATACTGTTTAAATTCTTACGATCAATCCTATGGTCAATCTATCTCGATTGTAGGTTGGGCAGAAATTCTCGAAGACAAAGACACATAATGAAGATATGAACTATTCTCGTGGAAGAAATATGTTGAACCAATTAGGCCTCCAAAACTATGAGAAGAATTTCAAAAAGGGTCTTCTGACTGATGAAACATTGCCTCTTCTCAATGAAAGGTACATGTCTTTAATATTCAAATAACAATCTTTAAAAATTAGTTATATGCTTACTGAAATTTACCATTCGGTTGATGAAAAATCACGTTTGTCTTGCACTATCCTCCAGCGCACTCAGAGATGTGAATATCCCCCCTGGTCCAAGACTTGTCATACTTGAGCACATTAAAAGGTTTGGAATTATTGCAGACATTTCCGGTTTCTGGTGCGTCAGTGTTCTTCATCTAATATCTTATTTTGCAATTTTGCAGAGAACCTGGGTTGACGAAATCAAACTGAAGTGATTGTCTTGGAAACAGTTTTTTCTCAAGTTGCATAAACTATGGTCTGGGAAGTCCGTCCAGTCCAGTCGAGCTCTTTCAACGACGATGAGCTCTTTAGGCAGCAGTATGATTGTAAAAGATAACTAGCAAATGTTTTGTAGTAATTAGGCTGATTAAGTTATATGGATTCATCTGTATTGAAGTTTCAGTCGAGCTACTATCTGCTGTTGTCATGGCAGAAATTTTATTTCCAGAACACTTGAGCTTGTTCAGAGTTATTTTTTTGAAAATTATTCAAGAGTTTTTTGTGTAAAGACAAGATGAAATGTCTCAGTCTGGCTAGAACATGTTAATACCCCTTTCTCCTGTTTGCCAATCAGATAGTTAAACGCTGGTAGTTAGCAAGTACTGTAGTACTCCCTCCGTCCGGAATTACTTGTCGCATAAATGGATAAAAATTGATGTATCTAGAACTAAAATGCATTAGATACATCCATTTCTTTGACAAATATTTACGGACGTAGGGATTATAAGTGAAGGATTGCTGTACGCTTCAACATGGAGAAATGGCTTGAAGCATGCACAAACTTTTCCAAGAACGTATCTTAAGGGTGCAATACTGTTAAGAGAAAAGTGAATCCTCTCTCTTTCATTAGATGATTGTAAGCATTTATACAAGGAGAAGGGATGCGATGAAGAGGCATCCGTTCGGGAGAGATGGCAGTTACAAGGGGAGATTTACCCCATAATTAACATACATTAATTAAACTTTAACACTTCCCCTAATCTACACTTGTTCATCCAGAATCATCATCTTGATTAGAGGCTCCTCCAAAAACCCTGTGGGAAAAATATGAGGAATATAGTGTTTGATATGTTGTCAAAACTTCTTCAAACCCAAGGGGAAAAATAAGAAGAAAATGATACAACATATAATGGTTATTGTCTCTTTTAACTCAATACGAGAAAACCCATAGAGTTCAGAGGACAATAAATATGTCGTATATACTTTCCTAAAAAAACCCGGTGGGGAAAACAGAAAGTATGACATATGATCTCATGTTGATATTACCTCATTAAAAACCTTTATGAGAACCTGTAAAGTAAACTCATGAAGGGAAAAAGAGTATAATATGATGCATTGAACAGGAACAATTCAGGAAGATACTCCCCCTGATTCTTGCAAAAATTCGAAGTCGTCACATACCAAAACATAAAAATTGGTAGAGACTCGCTGAACAAATCAGTCGTATGATTTGACTTGCAAGATATGCAATATAGTGATATTGCTTATTATGTAACCTGTTTGCATCTAGGCAATACAAGAAACATTATCGTTGAGATAATGGTTGGTGAATGTAGCCATGAGGTCTGATTTGAAGACTCTTTATGAGAGGGCTATCACACCTAGTAGGAATACTAAATTTGTCTATGATCTGATAGTGGGGATCTAATCCATGTAACCAATGATATTGGTGTTCAGATTTCTTCGAAACTGAAAACCAGGACAAGATGTTTCATACCTTGGAGATATCAAAAGATATTCTTGAGTACCAACCAATTTGTGTTTGGTGGATCCAATGGCATTATGGAACGTTGAGTCCCAATATCCCATTTCCATCATCTCTTGGTCTAATAGATCTTTCTCTACGTCTAGAGAATGAACTACCATGAGAGTTGTGGATAGATAAGATTTGTCCACAATGAATTTCTCCAATATATTTTGGATATAGACAACATAGTATACCATAATGCATGAATGAAGGTGCTCAAGTTGTAGTAACGAGCGGTATTTTGGTTTACCCAAATCCTTCATTTTAAAGTCCGTCACTTAGATGATTACATGCGTCGTCATTGCAGACACACAACACATGAATAATCATCATTGTATGAGTAATCCTTGTGTATAAGGATCTCACTACGTCGGTTGTACCATATGTACCGACAACAATAAGCCGTATGGTGGCTTACCGATTTTACACAATGTATGTTAGATTTTGTATTTCGATTCAGAATTGAGATTCCATCGGAAATCAATCATATATGTCTGAATCTAGTGATCCATATGGATATGTGATCACTACATCTATCAACTGCAGAGATAGATGATTTTGAACTGCCAATGATATAAGTTATCGGAATGAGATTCCACCTCTGGAGAATAGTTGGGTATCTGCGTGAACCCTTGTGCTACAATACTTGCTCTTTGTTTCACCACCTCGTTGTTCTCAATTCTGTTTCCAAAAGAAAACTGATGTAGGTATTGCTTATGAATACCTTCCCATATTGAGCAAGATCATTTCTACCTAGATTATACCCTTTGCTTGAGTTCAGTCCGAGTGTTGTTCACACTTTGCCATGGCCATGGTCTTTGGATCTGAATCATTTGAAAGGTTTTTGCAATCTAGTTGAGAAATGTATGTCGACAATTGTAGACTTCCGGTTATATGGTTCTCCAGAATCTATATAACAATATATAGTTGATGGAAATATCGTTACCCATGGTGACTGCTCGTGATTTCCCAATGCAATTGAGTCGGGTATTCCGATGTCCCGGTCATTGTGTGCACTATGATCTGGGTTGGTGGAGGTTTCCCGTCCACTGGGTGTATACTACCCATTAGGTGTCTGCCAACGTGAAGTTGACTTGCATTTACTGATTCACAGGCCTTGATATCCTTACTTGCGAGAAGCTGAATCCTAATATACTTCTGCCATACATCTCCCCATGTTGCTTTGAACGGGGAGTGGAGTGGATTTTGTTGATACCTCCACTCTTTTAGGCATACTTTGCAGGATTATAGGATTGTGTGACACCTTTATAGTCAGTAAATGAATCTGGCAGGTTATTTGCAATATGTTGCAAATCTTCTAAACACATGGTTCAGCTCTTTGATTACGTGGATATGAGGCAGAAATGTGTTGAACATTCCACTAATTTCCTGGCATTCTTTATGGTACTTGAATTCTCCCCCTAATGCCTGGAAATATTCCTCATTGAATCAACATACTGACCTTGAATAACTCCCCATGTGAGGGGCTTGAGGTATTGACGGTAATACAGTTATTCCTCACATAGATCCCAACTATATGTTGAGGGGCCAATGATGTATGTCGGGGTGATGATATCGGTGTGTAACCGAATTACCGCAGATAGGAAATACTTGGTAGATTTCCACGTATCAAAGATAGAGGGGAATAAAATTATGCAGTTTGTTCATGAGCGTGTAAAACTCCATGACTCCAACGTAAAGTTGGTAAGTTGCAATTTCAAAGTAAAGATCATGCAATGAGCTCAATTCTTTGGATGGGATTATACCAAACCATTTTGAGTCTAGACATTAGGAAAAATTGCTAAACTTCAATCCGAGGGCCATAGAAAAAGGCACTCAAGGAGAATTCTGCAAATGCTATCCATTCGATTTGCTTGAAATCGATGTCAGGATAATGAGTCAATGGTTTCGTGTGAATAAAGCACACTTGAGACCATCATGTAGATGTGTCTTTGGAAAAACCATGGATAACTAAATAGTCTAGTCAATGGTTGGGAAAAACCACTTATCTTGACTTGATGCATTCAAGGAGTCTGAGTGGTTCAGCGTAAACTTTAAGGCGCGCAATCCTTAAAATTAGCCTCCCTGTGTCATATGTAGTGCACACAAAATCCAAATATTGTTAGAATTTAGCATCATAATAATCATAAACCAATGGAATTGCTGATAGTTTCGGTTTCAACCCAATGTCTCGATGACCAAGGCGAGTATGCCAAGTTTGTCATGTACAAGACACTCTGGAAAACTATCTCGTACGCAACCTGTGCTACGGGTTGAGTTGTATGTGTAGTACAATCCAGATGATACATAGAAAATGTGCTTGCCATATCTGTTGCATATGGTAAAGAGAATGTATTTCTCTTTCTTATCAGCATAAGTTTCGCTATGGAAACCATGTTGACGAATATCTCTATAGCTTAGTAGGGTACGAGTTAAACTTGGGAAGCAATGAAGCATCTTGACATTACTCGAGTACCCACAGGGATAGTAAATATGACTCGACTTGAGCCAACAAATACCTCATCGCATCTAGCGATTTTAAAATATCTCCTTTCTCTCAATGAGAGTGGAAACATTGGACTTCCCCGAGTATAGAGTTTGTGGTGCATATGCCCACAAGGCACATATCATTTTTCATCGGATTGACTCCCATAGAAATCTATATATAGACATGAAGATTCTCAAGAAAATCATTGTCGGATATATATATAGAATACATACAAATGAATTTGTATCAAAGTGCTGATACAATATATTGTGGTATACAATATATGATGACAACAATACTTATGTTGTTGTTACAACATCATAAATAGACATTAATTATATTGACCACTCAGGAGATTGGAAGACTATTCATAATCTCTAAACATGTCGGTTGAAGCATATTCAACCATCACATGTCATAGCTAGTGATGTCGGATTGAAGGTTGAAGTAAAATTCAAACCTTTGCCCTTGAGGTTCATTGTATCCCAGGAATTGCTGATACAGAATAACCAGATGCTGTGATCTGGTCTAATGCCTTATGATTATAAGACACCATTTTTCTATTAGCGGTGTCATCCTGACCAGAGGTGAATCCAGGATTGCACATATTATCCCACGAGACACAAGAGCGGTCATGATGTCCATGGCCCATATAGGGCAGTGGTGGCCATTGAGGGCGAATGCCTCAAACTCTATAGCAATATGTTACCTCTATGGGTAAACCAGAGATAATTAATTTACAACCAGTAAATTAAAGACCATCATGGCTGATGTTGTAATGAACTTAGCAAAATCAATGGGTATTTCAAGAAGTTATCTTGAAACCATTAGTGTGAATCTCAAATAGCTAAATATGACATCTTGAAGATAATCTCAAAAATGGAGTAGATCTCACAACACTAGAGAGTATAATCTGATGGAATCAGTAGATACGCGCTCGTAAATGCCTTATGCCATGACTTAGTAAAATGTGTATGAGAGCACTTTGTAAAGCAATTATAATGTCAAAATGACAAAATATAGGCTTTAACAGTAGTCATTGACAATCTGCGAAGGCGGTAGATCTAAATGACTACCTTGTGATCCCAATACATCAGTTTGAAGAAATTACTTTGAATTTTGCATTCTTATTTGCAAGAAATTAAAAATCTCAATTGCAAATAGACGTATTAATCTCAACATGTAGCGAACATGGAGATACATACATTCCGGAATACATCATACTCAACAGAAATACACCACTATTATAATGGATAGTAATGATGTTGCAAACTTGATGTTCAAGTGAAAAACTTGAATTGTACAGATCTCAAATTAAATGAGATGATCCTGTATCAAGTTGCATGATAATTCAGCTGGGTGAATTAATATTTTGCGAGAGAAAATTAATCTCAATCGCTATGAGATTGTTTTGCGAGAAAAATTATATTTCTCAATTGCAAATCAATATTGTTGTGCGAGAAAATTTAATCTCAATCGCGAAAAACATGTTCTAGAGAATGTGGTAAACACATTGAACATGTCAAATATAAATATACACATATTTCTGGAATTGTAAAACTCAACAGAAAATGGGTTGAAATGCATATCTATACATACATGGTCTAATAAAGATGACAAGTGCTAATGAATAGCACGAGTAGTTGAACCATGTTAAGTTATCCTGAGACATACAGGAATTACTCCAAGATTTATACACGCAAGCCTATTATGAAAATAGGTAAAGCCACATGGGTGAAGTGTATAATCGCGAAGGGATAAGGCTCCATGGCCGCTCTTCCAATTTCCATGTGCGGTTACGAATCGAAGGATTCGTCTTGGCTCACGCCGCCGTGCTACGCACCACCATTCGCTGCCGATGGGAGGGCACTGCCGCACGCATTCGTGCTGCCGTAGCGCTAGAAGATGCTGGTGCGCCGCGGGCGGCGGACGGGCACGCGGTGCGGCATGGCACACGGCCAGGCGGAGGCCGTGGCCTGGGGCGCTGCACGGCGCGGAGGCCGGGCACAGGGCGCTGGTCAGGCGGCACGGAGGCCGTGGCCTGGGGCGCGGCGCGGCGCGGAGGTCCAGTGGACGGGCGCGCGGCCAGGGGCAGTCCCGACCCGGGTGGGCGCGGCCAGGGGCGGCCACGGCCTGGCGCGGCCGGCACAGAGGCCGGGTGGATGGGCGCGCGACCAAGGGCAGCCCCGACCCAGGCGGCGGCCGGGTGGATGGGCCCCAGGCGCGTCGCAGCGCCCGGCCAGGCGCGGCGGATGGCCGCCGGGCGGGCGAGGGCGAAGCCTCGGCGCAGGCGACGCGTGGCCATAGCCTGGCGCGGGGTGTGGCGCAGTGTGCGAGGGCGAGGCCTCGACGCGGGCGGGCGTAGCCTGGCTATTCCGGGCGCGAGCGCCGCGCGGGGAAAGGTGACCCACAACAACGGCCGGAGGGAGGCGACGCCGGCCGGTGGCCGCTATCATGACCTCTGCAGGAGAGGCCATGGCCGGGGAGCGGTCGCGCCGTCCCTTTTTCTCTCGACCAAATCGCTCTCGGGAGCGTGCTGGTAACGTGTTAAAAGAAAAGTGAATCCTCTCTCTCTTTCATTAGACGATTGTAAGCATTTATACAAGGAGAAGGGATGCGATGAAGAGGCATCTATTCGGGAGTGATGGCAGTTACAAGGGGAGATTTACCCCATAGTTAACACATGTTAATTAAACTCTAACAAATACAATCCCAAAATAGTTGTAAAATCCAGAAAATTTACATGGTGAAAATAGTTGCGAGAACCAAAAAAATTACATATTGAAAAACCTTAAAAGAAAAGTGAATTCTCTCTCTCTTTCATTAGATGATTGTAAGCATTTATACAAGGAGAAGGGATGCGATGAAGAGGCATCCATTCGGGAGAGATGGCAGTTACAAGGGGAGATTTACCCCATAATTAACACGTTAATTAAACTCTAACAAATACAATCCCAAAATAGTTGTAAAATCCAGAAAATTTACATGGTGAAAATAGTGCGAGAACCAAAAAAATTACATATTGAAAAACCTTAAAAGAAAAGTGAATTCTCTCTCTCTTTCATTAGATGATTGTAAGCATTTATACAAGGAGAAGGGATGCGATGAAGAGGCATCCATTCGGGAGAGATGGCAGTTACAAGGGGAGATTTACCCCATAATTAACACACGTTAATTAAACTCTAACAAATACAATCCCAAAATAGTTGTAAAATCCAGAAAATTTACATGGTGAAAATAGTGCGAGAACCAAAAAAATTACATATTGAAAAACCTGATTCAGGAAAAGGAAAACAGGGAAGTATAAAAAATTCATTATTCCGAGAAAATAAAAACGCTAGAAGGAGGGCTCGAACCTCCGACCTTGTGGTTAACAGCCACACGCTCTAGCCATCTGAGCTATTCCAGCTTTGTTGATGCACAGATACTTTCAGGTAATAACAAGAAGCTAAAGTAATACTCGTCCCTACTACTCCATGAACATTACCGTTTTATTTGGCAACTGAATAATCAATATAGTACAACGTACAGGTTAAAGCCATTCGGTGTATTATCCATCAGTATGATGGTAAATGGAGTGAAATACGATATAAAGTTTGACGCCTAATCATATATTCCAAGCCTTGTCATACCATATCACATATTCACGTTACAAGATTTAAAATATGTTTCTGGTTCCGAGTGTTTAATCTAGTTGATAGATATCGTATTCTTCACAAAATTTGCCCCGAGCTTGATTGACGAAATCAGATTGAAGTGATTCACTGCCTGTCGGCGACAGTTATTTCTCATGTTGAGTGAACAGTGTTCCCGGAAGTCTGCGCCAGTCTACGGCAAAATTTGTTGCTCAGAACGCTTGAGATTTTTCCTCTGAGCAAGTAGATACTTATTCAGAAAGCTTACTCAGAGTGCGTCTGGAAATAACCAGCAGGTGTTCAGCAGGATATGCTGAAGCGCGGCACAATCACAATGTGTACATTACAGTCTGACGAAACACTGTACATATGTTAGAAATGCAGCATTATGTACAGGTGATGTAAGACTTCGATTTACATATATTCACGGAGAAACTCCAGCATGTGGAGACTATGTACATGAACTACGGAACCTATACCGCTATGCACGAAAGAATCAACAAGTTTATCAACAGCAAAGAATAACGCAGTAAGCATCACTATACACGGGTGCTCAAGCCTTCAATGCATTGGCGTTGGATCAGAAACTTGAACAGTCTGATCATTCAACCGGCTCAAGCAAGGTTTTCCCTTGTCATCAGTGTCCATCATTATGGTATCGCCAGGTTTGTACTGCCCAGAGAGAATTGCTTCGCTGATGACATCCTCAACCAACTGAGTGACGGCCCTTCTAAGTGGCCGCGCACCATAGCTCTTGTCGTATCCTTGCTGAGAAACCATGTTCTTCATGGCATCAGATACTACTAAGCCGATACCGAGCGCCAACAGCCTACCCTTCACCTCTTCCAGAATTATATTAAGAATAGCCAGCATCTGAAAAATGTCGGAAACTGTTAGTACGCCATTTGCGATACGTAGCATGATTTCGTAAACGACGTGTTAGAAGGTGTAATACAACATTTTTCAACAAAAAGACAGAAAAAAGATCTTGATGTACAAGATTTTACAAGGTACCCCCTTTGTAAACTAATATAAGATCTTTTACAGAGGGAGCACGTAGGTGCAAAAAGGAAAGGGGTTGCAGCACAGGTATTGTGTAATGGCATACAAATGGACCGGTGATTTTAGTTTTATAATAATCTGATATGATATCTAGAATCACATGATAATAACCAAACAACCTAAAATGAAATAACAGACCTCAGTCTTCTCCAGTGGACGGAACACAACCACCTCATCCATTCTATTGAGCAATTCAGGTCGAAAAAATGCCTTCAACTCTTCCATTACCAAGGATTTCATTACAGCATATGTGTTCTCTTCTGTATCATTCTGCGTCTGGAAACCCATGCTCATCGTTCCTTTGGAAATCGATGTAGAACCAACATTTGATGTCATGACGATTAATGTATTCTTGAAGGAAACTCTGCGGCCCTGTAGTTCAGAAAAAGTAATGACGGTTTCATTTCACTAAGATGAATCCAGGATCATGCCTAAGAAAAGTTCACACAAGATTTAGCAATGCACATCAGACTGAGTCTCATCAATAGGATCGCCCTTCTAGGACAAAGTCATAACAATGAACATTTAGCTTGTTGAATTTGCAAAAATAGCTAGCCTGACTTTTGAGGTGCAAAGTACAGTATGAATTTTATTTATCGACTGCAGAAAGTAATATCACGTATGTCAGGATCTAGCACCTGTGAGTCCGTCAAATGACCATCTTCAAACACTTGGAGAAGAATATTGAAAATATCAGGATGAGCTTTCTCTATTTCATCAAACAATACCACAGTGAATGGTTTTCTTCTGACTGCTTCTGTCAAAGTACCACCTTCACCAAATCCCATGTACCCTGGAGGAGAGCCTATCAGCTTGCTCACAGCATGCCGCTCCATGTACTCACTCATATCCAATCTAACCATAGCCGACTCCTGTTAAACGAAAGAAATAACCTTTTAAGACAAATTCAATGTAACATGTTCTGTAGGTTGAGTAAGATATAACCAGGAAAGAGTGACCTACAGATCCAAAATAAGTTGATGCTAGAGCTTTAGTTAATTCAGTCTTTCCAACTCCTGTTGGACCACAGAAAAGTAGAGTAGCAATAGGTCTGTCAGGATCACTCATGCCAGTGCGTGATCTCTTCACAGCTCTTGATATAGCCACAACAGCATCATCTTGACCTATGACACGCTTTCTGAGTTCATCGTCTAGTCCTACTAGAAGCTTTCTTTCATCTGCAGTCAACTGCTGGACTGGTATGCCTGACCACAATGATGTGACTCTTGCAATTTCCTCTAACCCAACCACAGATGGTCTGCATCATTAATTGTGTTTTAAAATTTTGGATGCTTATATTGTGAAATGTGAAGTCTACTCGGGATGAAATCATGAATGAGAAAACCTACTCATCAGCTGAAGCTGAGGGTGTTGCTGTCGGGCTTGTCTTGCTATCATCCAGTACTTCAACATTAACCTCATTCTCTTGGTCATTTTCATTTAGAGAATATTTCAACCTGTTAGTCAGTGCCTGAAACGTGTTGCGAAATGAATTGAACATCTACCAGCAGATGGACATGCAAAAATGTTACTTGGAACAGCTCTATTTAAATATTCTATTACCACTTCATGCATGGCCTGGACAGCTCTAATCTCTTGCCAATATTCATCTGGTGACTTCAAAATAATAGAGCACTGCTCTTCCTTCTTCTTTTTAAATGATTCCATCCGAGCTCTGCTACCGGCCTCATCAATTAGGTCAATAGCCTTGTCAGGAAGATGCCTGTCAGGGATATACCTCACTGATAAATAAACTGCCGCATTGATGCCTTCTAAGGTGTATTTGCATTTGTGATAAGTCTCATATTTTTCACGCAGACCAAGTAATATCTTCACAGCATCCTCCTGCAGAGAGCACAAAGAGAAATTAAAAGAAGCTGATAATGAAGAGTCCCAAGAGGTTTCGAGAATTGAAATTCTGCACTACCTGACTGGGCTCATTTACATATACTGGCTGGAATCGGCGGGCCAAAGCCTTATCCTTTTCGAAATGCAAACGGTGCTCATCCAGAGTTGTAGATGCAATGCACTGTGAGTTCAGACAAGTATCAACACATGCAAAAGAAAAATAAGAAAATATGATATGTTGCAGTATGTCGCAGACGAGATATAATATACTACTCCCTCTGTAAACTAATATAAGAGCGTTTAGATCACTAAAGTAGTGATCTAAACGCTCTTATATTAGTTTACGGATGGAGTACTTAGTAGCATGGAAACGGTCCATGTGGATCATGACTGCTGATTAACACAAATACTTCACAGGTATTTATAAAGGGACACCACTCAAGTGACAAACTACAGAGTACAACATCAGGAATATGTGCAGCAGTAAAAATCAGTACAACATCAGGAATAGCCATAGAAGGAGTTCCTTGTGTGGAAACAATACCTGCAATTCACCTCTAGCAAGTGCAGGTTTCAGCAGATTAGCGATATCAAGACCAGCTCCCTTATTTCCTCTTCCAGCAATTCCAGACCCAATAAGAGTATGAACCTCGTCGATAAACAAAATAACATCATCTGCATGAAATTTGGAGCTATTTGTAAGATCAAAAAGCGGAAAGAAATGTTTAAGTGTTCCATTTATACTGCACAAATCAGATAAACCTGCTTTGCGCACTTCACGTATTAAACTTGTAACCCTGGCTTCCAATTCACCCCTCTCTTTTGCACCAGCCATCAGTAAAGCAACATCTAGTGACAATATACGTTTTCCCTACATAAACAATGTGAATTAGTAGTAAGTATTAACTACTGTTTGCGAGCAACTTTTTGACATCAAACGTGGCTGTTTATCTATAATTGGTTGCGGAAACTCACCACAAGAAAAATAGGTACATCTCCATTAGCAATTTTAAGAGCCAACCCTTCAGCAATGGCAGTTTTGCCAACACCTGCTTCACCCAAAAGAATTGGATTGTTCTTTGTGCGCCGGCATATAATCTGAACTACTCTTTCAATCTCCTTCGTGCGACCAATAACAGGATCGATAAACCCTCCACTGGCTCGCATAGTCAAATCTATACAAAATTGAGCTAGTGCGCTCTTCTCTGAAATGACAAGTAAATAAGCTCATTCTTTCCACACTCAGTGTCATAAAGAAAATTAGCACAAACACCTGCAGAGCAGCTTAATCCCTGACCTTTCTTTTTATTGGAGTATTTGGCAATGGCAGTCCTCCCATTTCCAGCAGTAGACTTATCACGCAATTTGAAAGAAGACAAACCCAGAGGCTCTCTGCCATCCTTTGCTAGCTCCCCTTTGACTCGGGTAAGAGCCTGCTTTGCTAGCTGAGTGGGAACTACTCCTAAGCTAGAATAAACATCATTAATTAGCTAGAAAATAATTAGAAGTGCGAAAAGGCCAACATTTTATTTAATTTTCAGTTAATTGGATTCCCATTTCTTTCGAGAGTCCACATAAATTCAGTTGCATTTCCCGTTTTGATGACAGTTCAAAAGAAAAATCTAATGTTGCTTATTGTTTAGACGATCAATAGATAGTTTGATGCATTATTTAGCTGTTCACGTTTTTGCTGACATGAAACTACAAATTGCAAGCTCTTCGGGAGAAATGGAAAAGGAGAACATCAGCACCAACCTCTTGAGGATGCTGTTGGTTGTCGGATCGTCCAGGTCGAAGAGGCCGAGCGCAATGTGGTCCGGGGAGATAAAGTTGCACCCCATATTCCTGGAAAACTCGACGGCCGCGACGAACACGCGCTTGCTGGCCCCAGAGAAGGGCACGTCCGTGGCCAGCCCCGTCGCGGCCTGAGCAGGCCCGCCCTTCCCGACGGCGGCACGGCACGCCTCGCGGGCGCGCTCGATTCGGACGCCCGACGCGAGGAACCCCGCGGCGGACCGGTCTTCTGCGACGAGGCCCAGCAGCAGGTGGTGCGGCGCCACCACCTCGTCCCCCATCCCGCGGGCCTCCCGCTGCGAGAGCACCACCGCCTTGACCGCCCGCTCGGTGAACCGCTCGAACACCGCCCTGACGACGAGGCCCGCGGCCCCGCGCCGCTGCTGCCCCCGCCGAGGCGGCGCCACCAGCAGAGCCGCGGAGGAGGCGCGGAGCGGGGGTGCAAGCGCAAGCGCCACCGCCCTCCCGCCCGACGCCGCGGCCGTCGCCGGGGAGAAGCGGCGGCGGAGGCCGGCGCCCGTGGCGAGGATGGAGGCGGGCGGGGCCGACGACGAGGAGCAGCAGCACGCCTCCATCGTCGTCGGTTGTTCGGTGTGTGATTGGATGCTCCCTCCTCCTCCGCCTCTGGGATTAAACTATGGGCTCGTACCCGCTGTAAGGTGCGACCTTAAAGTTGCACGAGACGGAATAGAGTAGCTGCAGCGGTTAGCTGTGTCTGCGTGCCACCGCTGCTGGGGAATCGAGTGATTGCATGGGGAGGAAGTGACCCGCGGGCGGCACGCAAGGAAGGAGGGGAGGGTGGGGAAACCGGCGCGGCGGCGCCGTGGCGGACGGAGATGCGGTGCGGTGCGGTGGAGGAGGAAGGAAAGGAATCTGCTTGTGTCGGGAGGCGAGGAATGGTGTTCCACCGCGCGGCGCGGGGTTGGTGTTCTTCGGTGGCGCGCGCGTGACGCGGGTTTATCCGATCGGGATGGCCGGTCGGGGATGGAGGATGGGCGCCGGTGGCCAATGTGTGCGGCTTTCGGCACAGGTTTGCGTCGCGCGCCGGTTGGCGAAATGTGCAGTTCGGGGCATCGTAATCCGCACTTCACACAACAGAGTGGCTAGTTCGCGACGTGTTTCATGCGGAGAAGTGGTTGGTTACTTTTTTTTTCCGAGAATATGTAACGTTATCAATGGTCATAGGGATAGGTACAGATACTAAGGCTGGTCGTAATGATAGTATCATAGCTAGTACATGCATGTCAACTAGGCAATTTTGATGAGGTGTCATAGCATTAAATGAAGAAAGAGAGGGCGTAATATCATATCATGATACCGTATCATATTAAATGTTATGCTACTTTGTGTCATGCATGACAATAAATAGAGTACTACATGATACTAATATATGATACTATGCATTAGGGAGGTAGTATCATACATTAGTATCATATGCATGATACTAGTATATGATACTTCCCATTACAACCAGCCTAAGCTCCCTCAAAATGCAGCTCTGGGGTGAATCGAGGCGTGAAGGGTGCGTGGGGTCCACCTTGTCAGCCTATGTTGACCCATTTTGAACCGCCTTGAACCAGGGAGGTGCGTTGGGCCGCTAGACTTTGAGGGAAGGAACATGCGTCCCTTCGAGCTCACCGTGGGCGGCATCGAAAGGGGAAAAGGCTGCAGGGCAAGGGGAAAAACTGATGGCCTTGTTGTGTAATTTTTCTTTGTGAAGAGGAGTTATGGGGCGGTCGACGACGGCGAGGTCTGATTGGCGGACCTCATGTGGCGGCGCCTCTCCTCGAAACTCGACCTCGTGCAGCCGCGCCAACCGCGGCTCATCATCTCACATGCAGCGCCTTCATCCTACCTCACCGGCCATGCCTTTCCTTGCAGGTGTGAGGAGCAGCAGCCATGCGTCCACTGCTTCTTCCTCCGGCCATGACTTTTTTGATATCACGCTATCACGGTATCACCTCCACACAAGGTATGACACACCAGGCATCACAGGTTCTGCACGTTGTGGAAGAGTTCTAGCCATAGGTAACGTCGTTCTCTTTGGGTGATGCAATAATTAATATGGATTTTGGTAGCACTTTCTATATAGATCTGATTACGTAATGTGGTTCTCATAATCAAGGAAGAAACGACTTATGAGGATCACCTATGTTTTTCTTATGTTTCTAGCAGCATCAATAATTACAAACTAACTTAACTTTACAACTTTACTGTTGTCAGTACATAACATCTGAATAAGAAAGCTGAAAGTTTCTACGGCGGCAGATATATTATGTAATATTTCTGCGACAGTGATATGGATTTCCAATTGGTCCCACCTGCGCTATGTTTAATTGATATATCATGTATCATTCCTGGAATTGCCATGTCCTCCAGCATATATATTTGGTAATCTTTATGCAACGGTGATAGAAATCTGTCTAGCCATCTTGTGATCCCCAATTGATAAGTAATGTCAAAAACCATCAATATATTTTTCTTTGTGACTTGTGACTGTCAAATTCTCATTTTGCATGCCTCATACAGAAGAACTAGAGTTGAAGCAATACGAGTATACCAAAAGGATCTCAAATTTTCAACAAATGGTTCAAGAGCTGGCATATAAGCTATATTGATTTGCAGTATTTCAATACTGCACACTACTTCCATGTTTGTTCTGATTACAGTTTTGGTTATTTTCTTGGTTCTGAAGGATTGAGTATTACATTGTGAAGCTAATTATCCCAGCCAACCTAGCATATTATATTGTTGCATAGTCACCATCTAGGGTGTTCCAAGTTTACGTTGCTAAATCATTGCCATCAGTACATATTTAATTATTGGGATTCATCTCACACCAGGAGTGCTACACAATTGGCCATGTATGTTCACTTTGGTATCATATTGTTTCTTTGATCCTCATGGCTCTGCAATTGTGAGGTAAAATACGAATTTATTGTGCTTTGTGTTTACAAATTGTCTCATTTTACATGTTTATTATGTATTTCTATAGTAGGCAAATAGGACATAACCTTGTTTTATTAATTTTTGGTGCCTCTTTCTCGATTCTTCTTCGAATATGTCTGCCTGGGACAAAAGAAAAATACACAGAGGGTTTCGACTTTGCGTATTATAAAATTAAAGGATTATATTGGTAAAAACATGCTTAGAATGAGGGAAGGTATTCTTTTCTATAGGCATGGTTTTGTGACATGCAACGCATTGCTTCTTGATTTTTTTTCTTGAACGATCATCTTGAATCATTGTCCGTATTTATTTTTTGTGATCATTCATTCTCTACATCCATGGATAATTTAACTACCCAAAATATGGGGTTTCTAAAAAAGATGCAAGTGCATGATGGTATGCACATTTGCATTATAATGCAGCATTGGTCTTTAGTTATTATCTATAAGCCTTCTTTCATCATTGTTTAGTTACTATCCTGATATCCCGCACTTCTGCTTGCTTTTTTGTGGATGACCCGAAGAGCAATTACTTAACATGAAGATGTATGAAAATTGTTATACAAACTAGATTAGATTGTCTAGACATACTAAGAAGCTATATTTTCCTATATTTAATGCTTAGACTAAGAAATACTAGAATATGATGATTTCGGCTAAACCTTTAGGCCAAGTTTGCTCCTTATACTTGCTCTCATGTATGGGTTACAGTTCACCTAGAGATATATACTATTTCGAAGCAGCATACCTCGCTAATCAGTTGCAAGAGTCTACTCTTTCTGCTAGAAACATCTAATAATCATGTTTTCACCTTATATTCTGTCGGCAAAGATGTCAATCTTGCATGTGCCTTTGTTTGTTAACATAGAAGTACCACGTCAATATGATTACTGAGATTGAAAATGACATATTGTGTATAAAAGAAATTGAATAAAATTTTAACTGTGATTTTAGTATTACCATAGTTTATGCTTTCTCTCTTACACGCTCAAAGCATTGTGGTTATTGGTGCTACAAGTTTCTTCACTGAGCACAGTGGAGTGGATCGCACTAGAGTGCACGAAACTACATGACATAGGTTCAACATTATCATGTGTCCTTCATTAGTTATTCGCCTGGTTTTTTTTGCTTTATACAGAATGCTGCATACAAGACATGTATGCTATATTACACCAGTCACTGTATATAATGGTTAGCTTATTACTTTTGGAAGGCGTTCAAGCAGGCCACTATATTCCAGCTATAAAACTAATTTTCCTCTTCTTCTTATGTTGACTATGTTATATCTATTTAGAACACCAGTCGCTCTAAGTTCTTCCATGATCAACACGCTCTATTATGAAGCATCTATTCACATTAGATTCACCGCTCTGTTATGAAGCATCTGCCGGATCAGTTACATAAATTTTTCTCACACTCTTTGCCGCAAAATATAAATATTAAAGTTCACTTCATCAGTGAGTAAGTAATGCCATATCCTACTAGCCATGTTGGTCTTCCCTTAACAAACCATAGTTCCCTCTTTGATCAAAATTTCCGTATAGCGATTGACCAATACCATACTATTTTATTGTAGATTTAAATCTTATGCTTCATGCCTTAATAAATTTATACATAAACCTATAATTCTATCTGAAAAACGGATGGGCGCAGCAACGTGCGCCTTCAATGATCTAGTGTACATTTCAAACCGGGCCATCATAGATGGAACACAATACAAGAGGCATACATACATATCGAGTGATACATGGGAGGACATTTGTAGTACATGACCGGCAAGACTGAGTCGTAAGGACTAATACGATCACCGCTCAACAAGCATTGCTATTAAAAAATGCGCCAGGAACTGTAAGTAAGGGAAGTCTGGACTATCTTCATGGCACATGACATGAAAGCTCTGTCATTTCCTCCGGTTCGAGCTTAGGCCCAGCTTTTTTTGGTCGATTCTCCCAG